GGGCAAAATACATCTTCAATCGCCTATTATTCTTTGTAAACAATGCAAAACCTCATGGAAGACCACTTGAAGGAAATCATTTTCTCCATAAAGTTGGGTACGGACTTATTATTGGAGAAATTCTAAGAAAGAAGAATGTGCCTCTTAGAAGAAATAAAAGTGTTGGAATCTACAGAACACTTTTCAGAAAATTTGGACTCGACTATGGCAAGAAAACAAATCGAAGAAAAGGATCAGAAGGAGGTGGTTCCACAAGCACACCACAAAGTTCTAGAAGAAGGAACAGTAAAACTCCATCTGCAGCAAGTGCACACATGGGTTCTAGCAACCCAAGCAACAGAGATCAAGAAGTCGTAAGCTCGGCTATAGCACTTATTCCATTTCAGGAAGTGGCAGAGTCTGAAGCTCATGAAGTAGAGATACCCGAGATGCCAATGGAAGAAGATACCACTCGAATGGAGTTTGCAGGAGTTGAAGTGCAAGTTTCCAATGACTTGCAAAGGAGAATCGCGAATCAATCTGCAGTTGAAGCTAGTGTTGAACCCATTGTGTTCGACAAAACACAAACTCGAGATGATCCAGAACTGATGAAGGAATTAAACCGAGTTCAAGCATGGAAGGAATGGAGACTTGAAAGATATCACTCTTTTATCTCCAAAGTTGATTCAGAGTTGATACAAAGTGAAGAATTAGCCTTTGAATGGCTAGGAACTAACTCAATGCTTGAAGCACTAAACATGGATGCAAATCAAGTTTATAGGCTGAAGCTTCAAGAAAAGAACAGTAAGGGAAAACGAGTGGCCACAGCAACTCAAGAAGATGCCAATCAAGTCTCTCCAAATGATATTGAAAAAGAGAATGAAATGAGGCTACATATTGCTCTACACATATCGTTGACTGACACTCATTGACATCCAGGTGATACTTCAATTAATATAGCCAATGATTTTCTTGAAAATTTTGGAGAAAGGGCGAATGAAGGAAGTACACTTGTAGAGGTACCAATTTCAGCCTCTGAAAATCATGAGTCTATTCCTGTCAGAGTTCACTGTGGTGAACTTTTGATATCAAATGTGACCCCACTAATATTGATATAAATGCATTGGACCCTACAAGGGATGAAGTAAGGGATCAAATTGATGGTGAAATTAGACCCTCAATTGGGGGGGGGGGGGAATACTTATATGAAGCGTCAGTGCACAATAACACCTCTGTGATGTCTCCTCAAAATAACTCTCTGGAAGAAGTCAATTTAAATACAGAGATTATCTCACGAACAGAGGTGATTGAAGAAGAAATTGAAAATCATCTTGAAAAAGCCGAATCGCTAGAAGAAAATTTGCAACTCATTGAAAATCTAGTTCTTGGTGATCCACGAAGGAATTTGTTCAAAAGTCTACACTCTCTGAACATGAGTAGAAGCCGAACCCGAGAAGAAGATGAAGATGATTTGTTAACTTCACTGTTTGCAAAAGTTACAGAATCAAGTGATGTTGTGTGTCAAAAGATTGGAACAACTCTTACCGAGCAAGGACATCTCTCGTTACAACACTTTGAGGACACACGAACAAATTTGAAGGAGCTATTGGAACATCAAAACGCTCTGCAAACAAAGATAGACAGAGCCGAAAGACATCTAAAAGGAGATCTCACCGAATGATTATTGGAGATAATCCAACTGATGAAGAAGGAACGAGAAGCTACCGAGAAGATCAACAATGAAAGACAGATGAGACAAATAAAAGCCATACAAGACCAGGAGACAAGGATAAATCACCTTGAGGTAGAATTATCCTCTATGGCTAACAAAATATCTGATTTGCAGGATGTTTCTCTCAAAACACATGATGGTGTTAAGCTTGTTAAAGCCAATCAAGAACAAGATTCCAAATCCATTGGCTTTTTGATTGATAATGTCATAAGGGGGGAAGAAATTCTCAATCATCTGTCTTTACAACAACATGAATTCATCATTGGAAGTCAACCGCAACAGCCAGTTTTGACCGCCGCACCAACAAAAGGCCAAGGCCGAGGACGTGGTCAACAATCCCAAGTTGGTTTCGCTCAATTTTCAAATCCGAGTCTTGGATCAAGCTCATCTAAAGTTGCTGAAACTCGAAATTGGTTCGAATGCTCAAAAGGAACCTTAACACCGCAGAAAATTTGGACATCCGAGAATGTGCCAAGTATGGTGAAAAGATGGCCCAAAGCTGATCAAGCTCAATGGATATCTGAGAAGAATAAGGAAGAAGAAGCAAAAAGGAAGCAAACCGAGATGTGGTATGAGCTTAGAGATTATACCAACAATAATGGTGAAAGTTTGGGATTCCAAAGAAGCTTTGAAGAATGCATAATTTGGTGGGAAGCCGGAGCTCTTCCGGGCACCAATATTAAAGAGGCCTTTGGACACTACATGGCTGGAAATGTGACTAAGAAGTTTGAATGTGAAAAGTTCAAAAATGATATCTGCAAGATGAGAGAACATATCAAGGATATATTGAAAGCTGACATGGGAGTCAAGAAACCCAGAAGGTAATCAGATATGAACTCCTCAAAAATATGATGTTTTGAATATCTATATTTTGGAATGATTTTGGCTATAATAATATTTCCTCTAATCGACTAATATGAATAAATATTTCCGATGGTCTGGTCTAAGTCTGTTTTGATTTATTTTGGCTACATGTATTAGTTCGTGAATTAAAAAGACAAGAATTGTTAAACGCATGCAAAAATTTGAAAAGATAAAAATTGATTAAAAAAATTAATCAAGGATGCGTATAGGACTTGTCTAAATTAATTCACAAGTTTTTGTTTTCCCTAGAATTATTTTTGTCAAACTCATCTTGGCTTTGTCAAAATAAAATTGAGCAAAAATATTTTTCAAAGACTTAAAGCCAATATTTGAGTATAAGTTATGGCATTATCAAAAGGGGGGAAATTGTTAGGAATAAATTGTAATAGATTTTGATATGCCATATTGTAAATCGTAGATCCTCAATTTTATTTTGGTTAGACTAGTCGAGTCATAGACCAAGAAAGGGCAAAATAAATTCATTAGTTGAGGAAATGGATGAAGAAGATATAAAGCCTAAAATCAAGAATTTGCCTAGAGAAAATGGCAAACAAAAGAGGAAGATGTATGCGTATGATATTCAAGAAGAAATCACGAAGAAGAAAGAACGTGACTTAAAGTTTGCATGAAGCTATCTTGAAGATCAAGCATCTATGGAAAGAAAGGAGTACACCAAGTGAAACAAGAAGATAACCAAAAAGTTGTATGGATGGGTTGGTAGAAGCTTGAATTATTATATGCAAGGTTATGGGTTCGAATCTCACATCCCACATATTTTAAAGAAGCCAAGTTTAAATTCCATCAGATAAAGTATGAGGATGAGATTTCTAAATTGACTAAGGGATGAGATTTACAAGTGAAGAGTTGAAGTTCAAAATTGATATCTCAAAATTTGACAAATTTAGCAAGGGTAAAAATATAAGAAGAAGTTGCAATATAAGAAGAAGTTGCAGAAGCAAAAATACTAGTCTAACTAGTAAGGGGGGGGGGGGGGGGGGGGATTATATTGGAGATTATATTTTGAAGAAGTTGCAATATAAGAAGAAGTTGCAGAAGCAAAAATACTAGTCTAACTAGTAAGGGGGGGGGGGGGGGGGGGGGGGATTATATTGGAGATTATATTTTGAAGATAAAAATCCCAAGAGGCGTGATCGACACCAGATGGAGATTTTTGGGACGCCCCAACGTGAAGTACAGAGGAAAAATATAAGAAGAAGTTGCAGAAGCAAAAATACTAGTCTAACTAGTAAGGATTATATTGGAGATTATATTTTGAAGATAAAAATCCCAAGAGGCGTGATCGACACCAGATGGAGATTTTTGGGACGCCATTTTTGCGAGAACTTCTACCTCAACTTGCAGAGAATCTCTGACATATCTGCAACGTTATCTTATCCTCTGAAAAGGCTATACAGCTAGATGAAATTCAAAAATCAGAACGTTTCTCTCCAACGGAAATATTCTCATTACCAGCTATAAATAGATGAAGATTGAAGCTGAGGAAATCAGAAGCATAGAAGCAAATAAGCAAGAAGCGAAAAGAACAGAGCTAAACAGAGCATACAAAATTCAAAGAAAGCTTTCCATCTCAAGAGCTTAAATTGATATATTCTTTGTGAGATAAACACTCAGAGTGATACAGAGCTTACAAAAGAAATATCCAAGAGTGTTAAAATCTTCATCAACTACAAGAGACTCAGCGCACCATCGAAGATCATCTACAGAGTCTCAAAGTTGGAATCAAGGCAAAACTTGTTTTGGAGCAAAACAAGGGAAATGAGGAAAGTAACACGGAGTTGTGAAATCCTGGATTGTCACACGGAGTTGTGAGAACCGAAGCAGCAGTGTCGGAAGACATTGGGAGTGATTAGTGCGGGCTTTGTGATCAAAGCACTAGATCACGGAAGATACGTTTCTACCGGATCGTAGAAGACGGGGGGAAAGTAACGCGGAGTTGTGAAATCCTAGGAAAGTAACGCGGCGACGTGAAACCCGAAGCAGCAGTGTTGGAGGCACTGGGCGTGATTAGTGTGGGCTTGGTGATCAAAGCACTAGATCAGGGAAATTCATTGTATCTTGGAACCAGGAACTGGTGGATATAGTGAATTGCTCTTGGAGATAAGAGCAAGTGGAGTAGGAGGATTACACCACCTCGCGAACCACTATAAATTGCCTTGTGTTCTTTACTGCTTTCTTTACTTACTGCTCTTGCTTGCTTCTCACAAGAATAATCTTGACACAATCTACACACACACCGTATCGTTTATTAATTTCCGTTGTGCACCATACTCTAACAATCTAGTTAAGAGTTTTGGTTTATCTCTGGCTTAGCAATTGTGGTACTGTGCTAAAAAGTTTGAAAGTCTATTCAGACCCCCACCCCCTCTCTAGACTTTCACCTTACCTCTTTTGGGACCAACACAAACAATAATAATCAATGAGTCAGTATGGATTTCCAAGGAAATCGAGAGAATATTTTATGAAAGGATGTGTTATGAATTTGTTGAAGGTATTTCAAAGATACTTATTTTGAGTTATAACAACTTGCCTAACTTTTTGAAGATTTATTTTTTATATTTGGGGATTTTTCCGGAAGGTAGCACTATTCCAGTGAAAAAAACTTATTAAATTATGGATAGCAGAAGGGTTTGTGAAGGTAGAAGGTCATCTAGGTGTTTAGTTTTGATTGACAAAATTAGTTTAGATGGCAAGATTAAAACATGTAAGGTGCATGACATAGTACATGACTTTTGTAAGAGGAAAGCAATGGAGGAGGACCTCTTACATGTTGTAGATGGACATTTTGGTCACTTAGATACTTGTCGTTGGGTAAGTATTGAAAAAATGGATGTTTCACTTGACGTTATCTCAAATAGATCTCGATCCATTTTATCCTTTTGTCACGATGAAGTTAATTGGTTTATTAGAAAAATTACAAATTTCAAGATGTTGAGAGTATTGGATCTAAGTAGTACTCCCTGTACTGAATGGAATTTGTTGTTTACTGGTGTTTGTGTTGATCTAGTTCTTTTGAGATACCTAGCTCTGAGCATTATATACTCCCCTGGTCAACAATTGGGAATGTGGAAGTCGAAAGAGAGTGTTAATCTACAAACTCTTTTGCTTCTGACAGACAAAGAAAGAAGGGTGAGTTGTTATACAACAAAGGTATATCAAACTTGGAGGATGCCAATGTTGAGGCATCTACAATTGAGCCCAGTGTATATGTTCGATAATCCGAGTGTTGTTTTAGAGTACTTGCAGACAATTTATTGGTTACGCCCTTCCCAATGCACAAAGCAAGTATTTTTTAGAATACCAAATAAATACAAAAGTGATGGGAATTTTCATACCGTGGTTGGGGGATGAATTTGTATATAATCCTGCTCGGTCGGATGAGAAATGTTGGCGGTTAAATGAAAATTGGTTGGATGATCTTATCAATTTACAGAAGCTTGAGAAACTAAAAATTAATAGCCATGATGAGAGTCATATTATACTTCCACATGCAAGTGTTTTTCCAGGACAACTCAGAATATTGACATTGAAAGGAACTTTGCTGCCATGGGATGCTATGGAAGAAGTTATTGGAATGTTGCCAAATCTCCAGGTGCTTAAACTTAAAGATCGGGCTTGTGAAGGATCATATTGGAAACTTAGTGGAGGTGGATTTCCTAAATTAAAATCACTGCTCATTCAAGGAATGGGGTTGAAGCAGTACTGGACAACTACTGACAATGCTTTCCCTGTCCTAGAGCGCCTCATCAATATTACATATTGTTATAATTTGAAGAAGATCCCTTCTACTTTTGCTGAGCTATACACTTTGCGATTAATTGAGTTGTACAGTTGTGATTCTTTGCTTGTTCATTCTGCAAAAGAAATTCAGCAACTGCAACAGGAGTCAATTGGGGATAATTTGTTTGGTGTTCATGACTACAATACTCATAAGGTTTTAATTTCCAACTATAACTCACTCAAATTTTCATTTATTTAATTTTTTTTAATGGTTTCGTCATGGTCATTAATTATTTAATTTCAGGCAGCAAGTATTGAAGAAAAATAACAACTGAAAAGTGGAAATTTTGAAGAACAAGAACGTAAAAAGGTTTGCATTAAACAAAATCTTGAAAGTAGTAACATTTATAGATTTGTTGTATTTTATTTTCATTATTTGTTTTATCCCAATGTTTAATTATTGGGAAAAATGCATTTAGTTATTTAATTATTTCCTTTCTAGTAGTTATTTTAGTCCTTGCATTGTTGCAACATACCTTTAACTTTGAAGCCATGCATGTCCTTGGACTTGTTGATTTAGGAAACTTCTTGACATATTTGCTACTTCTACTCCAACTCAAAATTAATTAAACTTTATTTTGATATGATAATGTTTACTGAGTAACCGAAAAAGTTACATTCCAATGAAGTATTGATGTGAGACTTAGATTTAATTTGTCAATTGTACTCTAACAATAATTTACATTGCATTAACTCTAGTTACTCTACACAAGTGCTTATATACACTTGTTTTGTTTGTCTAGTGCTCTTCTTAATTCCAACTACAATTGGGGCCATTTAAAAAAAAAAAAAAAAAAAACAGAATATATACATACACACTCATTGCTAAAAGATTTGTTATGGCTTCTTGATGAGCATATTACCATATATGAAGTAATAGGATTTTAATTATTTAAAAATTATATGCACTACTGGAAATTCTGAAATTTCCGACCACCTGAAAATGATCTTAAATTAAGTTGATACCAAAAAGTCCAAAAAGTGGTCGGAAATAGCAACAAAGGTTTTTCCGGATACCAAAAGTGGTCGGAACAAGACTTTCAACTTGATTTAAGATCACTTTGATGTGGTCAGAAATTTCAGAATTTCCAGTAGTGATGGAGTAATATAATATATATGTATATATGAATTATGTTCGACATTCAACAATTTGAAATACTCTATACTTGTGGTATAAAAGTGCAAAAAAAAAAAAAAAAAAAAAAAAAAAAAAAGGAAAAAAACAATAGTCTAAAACCTATATATTACTCATGTTTTCTATAGCTTTATGTTGACCACTATGATTTGTAACAAATTTTGGATTGATAATCTGCAGGTTTCTATTTAATTTGATCAACAAATTTTATTTTATTTTTAACTTTTTGTCAGATTATTTTTGGCATAATTTGTTTTGGTTATATATAATCTGTAACTTTTTGTCAGATTATTTGAATGCTTAATATTTATTAGTTTTTCATATGAAAAACTTTAAAATAACTAATCCTCATAAGTTTTGAGTAGCTGAAGTACAAGGCAAGTGATCCTGAATAATCCAGCTACTTTGCAAGTCAAGTTCAAGAGGAGGAAGATTCGAAGCTCACCAATGTTGACTTCTTCATTTGCTTTGAAGATGACTTCGACAACAATGACATCAATTGAAACAATCTTTATTTCTTAGCTCCCGGTCTACTGCCCATCCCTGATAAAAATCTTAAGCTTTATTATTTTTGCTATAATTTATCTTAAAAGACTTCTTTAGTTGCATATTTTGGACCTATGGATGTCCCCCTTCCTTTTTACTTGAGTTTAGCGCTTTGAATTTGGTCTGAGAAATTGTTTCATTGAGGAGTGGAATTGCTTTGCAATAAGTAGTGTAGGGATGAGCTAAGTTTGATTTTGATTATTGTTTCTTTTGTGTGGGCTCGTATGAATTATATTTGATAATTTCTATATGTTTATTCACTACATATTTCAGACTTCTTGTTAATTAATACCATGTGAATTAAAGGTTATATACATTTCAATTTTCAAACTTTTATATTTTGTGAAAGGAAGAAAATTATAAAGTCAAGTACTTTATATTTGTTTTTTATTTGGAATTACAATATATACTTGGTAATGTTATCATCTAGCAACTAAAAAATATTATATATTTTATTAAGTATTAGTTTTTCCTTCACAATATAATTTTCTCCTCCCAAAATTACAAACCCCTCTGGTTTTTTTTTTTTTTTTTTTTTTAATACGTACAAACCCCTCTGTTAGAAATGCTGTTTATTAGATTTAGATGATGCTAACAATGTATAAGTTAAGCACTTTAGAACCCAAAATTTTGATGTAATTTTGAAAATTTAGAAACAACAAAATTATATATCGATAGATCTTTACCCCATAGATTCTTTGTATGCATAAAAAAAAAATTGAATTCCAACGTATCCTCACAGGGCGTTTGGTTGGAGAGGGGGAATTACGTGGGAAAGAATTTGCAATTTCATGGGAGATGAATTACTGGGAATAAAGTAGGAATTTAAATTCCGGTGTTTGGTTTACAGGAATAGAATTACTGGGAATTTCAATTCCAATGATTGGTATACATGGGAATTAAAAGGGAATAAATAGTATAAAGTAAAAAATTAAATGTTCAGTTGTTGTTAGGCATTAATTTTAGGTTAAAAAATGAATGGGTAATTTTGACTCATCACTATCTTTTTTTCTTCCTAATATCCCAGGAATTAAAATCTCAGGGGAGACATGAGATTTTAATTCCATGAAATGGGGAAATTGCAATTCGAGTAGAATTGCAATTCCTTTAAACTAAATAAGGAAATTTTGTGGCATTTGAAATTAGGTGGGAAGGGAATTTAAATTCCCTTCAACCAAATGCTCTGCCATAGATAGGAGTGAGCATCGTTCGGTCCATTTAATCCTGCAACTATGACAATTGCAAGCAGAAACCCTTTACAATACTCAACAATGTGTCTCCATATCCCTTCAAGTTTCATAGGCAATTAAGCTTAAGCTTTTTTTTTTTTTTTTTTTTTAAAGAAGGAACTCTTATTAAAAACCAAAACAACGTCTTGTCAAGGCCCAAAAGTGACCAAGGCTACAAAGATATAAAAGAATAAAGCTAAGAGGCCTAAGGCTAACTAATAAAGAAAATAAACTCTAAACCACCAAGTGGGCCCAACACCCATTCTACAAACCACCTGTATCACATGCAAAGTTGAACAATTCCTGGGCGTCATGCCCTACACAAAGGGTGGGAACGGTGCTTCAAAGCCAAAGAAGGACTAGTTTCACCCTCAAGCGTCAGGTCGATCCCCCACGGTACAGAGCTCTGCATTTTTATCCGAGGGGACCTATGTGACCATCCATAGAAGCAATGAAACCAGCCTCGCGAAACCCTACCACCCTCATGCGTTGGACAGATCCCCTCCGATACAGATCTCTGCATTTTTATCCGGGGGGACCGTGAATAGTCCGCCACATGAGCAATGGTTCTCACCTCCACCCACCCTTGGAACCCAGGCCACCCTCGTACGTACAGAGCTCTGGATTTTATCGCAGAGGGCTTCAACGGCCCAAGGTCCCAAGTGATGGCTCCCTAACCACTGATGCCAACATATATACCACCCTTAAGCGTTAGACCAGCTCCCTCGGTACAGCGTACTGTATTTTAGCCCGGGGAACCTATACGGCCATCCACAGAAGCAATAGTATATATGCTAAGCACCAGAAGCCCACCTCACACCCACCCAACCCTTTATATAACAACCAGCCTTTTCTTCCAATCGCCAACTCAAGCAAGATATTTAAAGCAGACTAAGAGAGCACTCCCACCTCAGAGTGTATGCTATGCATGAAACACAGGAATCAAATCCCGCGAAACACACAGCCACAGATAGAAGCAGGACAGGCACAGAGAGCACAGAGCAGAAAGAGAAAACCCCCAGTATTGGAAAGCCCCCTACGCCCTATGCCAGCAAGGCCAACTACTCAACTAGCCCAGCAGAAACCAATAAAACATGAAGTGATAGTACAAGTCCGGAAATATCTCCGCTAAAGAAATAAATGAAAGATAAATAAGGAAAATAAAGACGCGGCTCGCAGTCCAACAGGCCAGCCAATCTCCTATCAACGGCACCAGCAACGAACAATAACCAGAACCCTAACGGCATTAGCTACTATGGGCCAGCAGCAAGCCTGACTAGGTCAACGGATTTGATAGATCCTGCCCGGACTAGGGTGCCTCTTGTACCGCTGACACCTACGTTGTTGAGGCTAGGCCTGACACAAAACCAAACCATCATTTCCTCTAAGTAGTACTTTCCCTTCATTTCAAATTTTCTTTATAATTTCCTTTTCTCTTTTCGTCTCTCTTTTTTTAAAAAAAAAAATGTGATACAATTCATCAAAAGCAAAACATAGTTCAAGGCGGGTCATAATCATCAAAAATCACCGATGGGATATCATCATGAACAAGCAACGCACACACCCTCGGCGGTAAGTCTGACAAATTACGGAAAATAAACTCCACATCCTTATCCCCAACCCAATCTGCCAATGCAGCCACCGGGAGGTTACCCTGCGGCAAACACTGAAGAACAGAAACAGATGCACAGGAGCAAAGAAACCGGAGTCGTGGCACTTCAGAGTCAAAGACCCATGGACTAGGTGCGGTGGGGTCTACATAACCCTTAAGCTCAGGCAATACAGACTCTAAGACTATGGACCTAAAACCCTCGGCTAAACACCATTCAAGAGAGCGGTGCATACCATGGAAAAAATCCCGAAACCCGTCGACTGCCGAAATGGCTAGGCCGTAGCAGAAACCACCCCCCCCCCCCCCCCCGATTATGTACCAAGGCAGCAGTCCCACCCAACGACTCGGAATATGAAAAATTGAGCTTTATAGAACCATCCGAAGGGGGATCCCATCTAACAGCGCAAACCACGCGCCGCGGTACAGTGGAATCTATGTAGGACAGAATGACCGGCCAATTAGGTGGCAAGATGTGTTCCTGCGGTCATCGCCTAAAGAGACATTCTGCCACCCCTTTGGCAACCCCATACACCACTCGAGGTACACTCGGCGGCCCTCTGCCATGTAAGCATGTGTTCCTGTGCTTCCATAACTCCCAAAGGATAAGATAAGGCAACCTGCAAATAACAAAAGCAACAAGACGGTTATGTGAAACCACCCGCTTCCACCCAGTCAAGAGCGTCCGTAGACTCGATGACTGAATCGCAAGCCGAGTGATCCCATAAAAAATCCCCATACAGCCCTAGCAGTGTTCCCTGCATAAAAGATGTGATCAATAGTTTCCCTAACAAGGTTATTGCAGCACCAGCATCTGGAAACAATAAGGCGCCCAAATCTAGCCATGGCATCATCAGTGGGCAAGCGACCCCTTAACACACGCCAAGCAAGAAATGACACCTTAAAGGGAAATGCTTATGCCAACATGCACTCAAAAGGGGATCTGACTGCACCGGTTTAGGTCTGAATAAATATTTTGCAGAGGAAAAAGAAAACAAACCGTCCGTAGCCACCCGCCAAATAGGGATGTCAGCTACTCTTTGACCCAGACGGGACATGTCAGCCTCCAACCCAGGCGGCAGAAGGTCATCATACACCGATAGGTCTAACTCTCCGTCCTGAATGAAGTCAGACAAAAGATCACCAGAGTACTCAACCCCCGGGAAGAGGTAAAGGCGCCCTAGTTTGCCGATGCCGGACCAATTATTCCACCAAAGATTAACATCCCCGTGAGTCAGGCGTCATCCTAAGACTGCCTCTACCTCATTCCTGGCGCTGAGCATTCGCTTCCAAGTGTGTGAATCGGAGGTTCGCGGTCGTTTCGCCACCAGGTGAACTCGACTGTAATACTTAGCAGTCTTGAAACTTCCCCACAGGGAATACACCTTGCGGAAATTCCACCAAAGCTTCGCACTAGATGCCCGCACCATCAAGTCAAGGTCAAGGAATCCCACTCCACCCTCTTTTTTAGGTAGGGAGAGCGTTTTCCATGAAGCCCAATTGTAGCGTGCACCTCCCGACTGCCTCCAGAAAAAGGCGGCAAAACACCGCTCCAGGTCCCGAATAACCTGCTTAGGAGGGGCACAAGCTGCAAAAAGATGTAAAAGAATAGCCTGCAAAACAGAAGTAATTAAGATTGCTTTCTCCCCTTAGATAGCATCCGACGCTGCCACCCAAGGCATTTGGCCTTTACCTTGTCCACCACAGATGAAAAATAAACACACTTCTTCCTCCCCACGTAAATAGGGCACCCAAGATAGGTGAAAGGGAAGGATCTATGAATGCATCTAGTGATGTCCCCAATCCTACGGATTACTCGACCCGATGTGTCAGGATGCATATAAAAAGCACTCTTAGGAAAACTGACCATTTGGCCTGAAATCCCCTCATAATCTTTCAAAGCACGGATGACTTTGCATATTGCCCCCTGTCTCCCAGTACTAAAAATAATAACATCGTCAGCGTAGGCTAAGTGATGAATATGAGGAGTACCAGGAGGCTGGGAGAATCTAGGGACAGCCTCGTCTTGATGGACTCGAGCGAGGAACGTAGAGAGGACTTCTGCAGCGATGATTAAAAGACTAGGGGAGAGTGGGTCTCCTTGCCTCAATCCACGGGATGAGGTAAAGAAACCCTCTTTGACCCCATTGACAATGACAGAGTACAATACTTTGGAAATAGCACGATAGACCAAGTCAATCCAGACTTCAGAAAAATCCATCTTACGCATCACAGAGACAAGAAAAAACCAGGAAACCCGATCATAGGCCTTAGCCATGTCCAGCTTCAGCACTATATCCTGATTTCCTAGCGTAATACCATGGCACATCTCAGAGGCAAGCAAAATATTATCAGTAATAGGCCGTCCCGAGACGAAACCACTTTGATGAGGAGACAACAGCCTCGGTAGGACAGAAGCCAACCTGACTACCATTAACTTTCACTACTACACAACAGGCTTTTAACGTCGGCTAAATAGAGCTTTTAATGTCGGCTATGTTCCGTAGTTGTTGCGGGCGACGTTGTAAATATTATCTATAACGTCGGCTATTTATATAGCCGACGTTATATATTATTTTAAAAAATAAATAAATAAAGTTTACAACGTCGGCTAATAGAATTTAGCCAACGTTGTATGGTATTTTAAAAAATAATTAAAATACTTACAACGTCGGCTAATAGCACGTTGTAGGTATTTTAAAAATAATTAAAATACCTACAACGTCGGCTATTAGCAATTAGCCGACGTTGTAAGTATTTTAATTATTTTTAAAATACGATACAACGTTGGCTAAACGCTATTAGCCGACGTTGTAAACTTTATTTATTTTTTTTTTAAATATATTCAACGTCGGCTATTACTTAATAGCCGACGTTGTATGTTTTTTTATTTGTCCATTTATACCCAAAAACCTGCTCAAATCTACTCACAACCACAACCACAACCACAACCTAAACCTGCTCAATTTCTCACAACCACAACCACAACCTAAACCTGCTCAATTTCTCACAACCACAACCAAAACCTGCTCAATTATTGCACCACAACCACAGCAAAATATGTAGAATCTAATATTTATAATGAAACAAGTAATAAAAGTAATAAATCTCACAATTTGATACTAATTAATAATACAAGTTAACATTATCAAAAGCTAATATCAATTTGTTTAATTTACATACTTAACCATACATCAACAAAGAAGTCGGCCCATACATCTCTTACTTGATCAATTTCTTGTTGAGTGTAGCTCGATCTACCAACTCTCTCAACAATCTACAAAGTTGATAATTATTAAATAATTAGTAAGCTAGAATTTTTAAAATTAAAAAAAGAAAGGTATTATATTAAATTACATGCCTTATCCATTCCCGCACATGCTTCTTTGGAAAGAATTTCAAGCATGTATTTCATCACATAATATCCACATGCCGTACTTCCAACTTGTTGAGCACACTACATTTGAAATTTTATTTAATAAAAAAAAAATATATGTAGTTTTACAAATGTATAAAATACTTACCAAAACCTTAGTCCATTTTGGTGAACGAGTTGATACATTGCTTCTCAACAACTTTGCTGAATTGACACACCTAAAATTATAAGAGATTAGTTTACATAAATACTTTATACTTTATACTTTATTAATTATACATATTAATACTTATAAGTTCACATACTTTTCAACAATATCTTTGATGTCATCACGTGGCTGGCCTCCAATTGAATCAAACCAATAGATTTCATTAAGTTGAGGACAAATTGCCATCAACATCCAATGATCACTACAAATCAATAATGTATTAGTTGTAAGTAAATATAATATATAATAAAAGTGTATTATATATAAGTTATTTTATTTTAAACAATTAAAACTTACTTTAAAATATATGGCGCTAGATAGCATTGTTTTTTGCCATATTGCATGGTGACGTTGATATACCCTGTCCGTTCATCTATAGTATTTGAAACTGGTTGAATGAAATGCGGATCTAAGAAGCCATATGTGGTCTTTGATGTCAATTCAAATTTGTCATAAAGACCCCTATTCAAAAATACAATCAATCATATATATCAGTAATATAATAAATGAATGAAAAATATTATATAAACAAATATAAGTAAAGAACTTAACTATTACCTTATAAAGAACTGCAATATGGAAACATCTAACGTCTCCATCTTTAAGAAACGCATAATCTCCAACGGGTCAAGTTGTAAGGGATAGTCAACATCGCCCACAATACCACGCTCCATCTTTATCACAACATTTTCATCAAGCTTGCGAATAATTCTATATACCTTTAGACATCAAGGACTCAAAGAAGTCGGATCAGCTATATTCAGATCAGCAAAAGGTCGTTGCACACCGGAATCATAAGTCATTTGTGCCTGTTCAATATAACTAACAATTACTATTTTTAAAAAGTAAATTAAACACTATTTTAAAATCCAAAATTTTTTAAAATACATACCTCATCACCTTCGGTATACAACTCAACCAACTTCTTTGGCCAAATAATAAAGTTGTGCAATGCATCCCTTGACAGTTGAACCTCATCGGTAGGGAAGGGTACCCTTGCACTTGACACGAGAATTTCAGTCACGGTGACCTTCACTTGATCCGCATGTATTTGTATCCCGTGAACCCTTTCGGCCTTGTAAACTATCCCACGTGCAACTTTACGTCTAATGGGATCTTCCAAAAACAATTCACATCCGGCTCCTAACTGCATGAATTCATATTAAGAAATAGGTAAAATGTTTTTAATAAATAATAAGATTAGTTATAAATGATTACTTACGGCCGGCAAATCAGCAAAAGGGTCTGGAGAGCTTGCTTTTTCACTTTGACCATGTGGTTGGACAGCTACACGCATGTCTTCCTCCTGCCTTGATGGTACAGGTTGAACCGCTGGAGTCCTCATACTACTAATTTCATCCCTCATCTCTCGAATGGCTGCTTGCAAGGATGTTTTATATTCCTCTCGGGCAACCGCTAACGCCTCAGCAACTGCTGTCTGAATCATATCTTTCACTTGTGGTGTAGACTGGCTTTGACGAAGTTTTGCATGACCAAAGTAGCTTTTTAAGACATGTTCTCTACCCATGGCTCTAACACGTTCCCAATGCTCATCTGTACCTATGGCACTAGACAATATATCTTGTGTACCGGACTCAACAAACTCTCCTTGAGAAGCTTGCAATGATAGCAAATCCTAACATATAAAAACAATATTTAATAATGATTACTAGCTATCTTAATAATGTAGAAAATTTTAACATTTTACTTACAATCTTTTCCATGACCATTCTAGTCGCTTCGTTGTTGATATTTCCTGATTTGTCCATTCTTGCCCTCTTCCACTTTTCATGTCTAGCTGGCGGAGATGGAGGAACAACTACTGACGATGGATCTGATCTTGCAGCTTCTTCTTGTTCTTTCATCTTCTCATCCATCATAATCTTCTCCAATCTCTTATAGCCTCCTCGGGCTAAATGATGTGGGTGAACATTCTTACTCCGTATTTCTTGATGTTTCTTTCTTGATTCCTACACAAAAAGAAAACATTAAGTAAAAATATATATCTTTAATATATTTGAGTTAATAAATAATTGATAGAAAAATTACAATATATACCTCAAACTCTACAGTTTTACGCTGCTCCACGTACGTTTTCCATGTATTTGGATCAACAAATGTGTATTTTTGACATGGAGTATTCTTTATTGGGTCTTCATTATGGAATATGTAGTCTCTGTTCAATCTAGCTTTAAAATCTCTCCACCGTTCACCTGCATATGACATCAAAGAATCCTTCAGATCCACATCATCAGTGGGAATATCATAAACGCTCTGCAAGACATGATTACTTATTAGAAACAAATTAAATACAATTATTCAATAGTTTTATAAATAAGTTGCATACCGTGATATCATCCCACACCAACGCTTTACTCTCTTCTGGGACCTCTTTCCTATCTTTATATGTGATTGGAACTTTGCTCCGTGCAATCAACGCAAAGTAACTTTTGAATTGGGTGCTCCCTGGCCCAACAGCTTCGTGTTTCCTATTAAATTGAACCACCAATTTTGTGTCACCACGCCCAGAAATTAATTTTGTCATAACGGTGGCACCCCGCCTCTTCTTAGCTTTGGTATTAGTACCTTTAGCTTGGATTGTACTATCAACAGGGGGGTCATTTGATGAATCCATATGCCTGTTTAGCAAAGAAATTATTAGTGAATTGACAAAAGAATAATATACATAAATATAACTGTAAATATTTAGATATAGTAAACACAAGAATAAGTTAAAGCATTACAAATAATAATCAATTCTCCCATAGCCCTTCATGATGATCATCACGTGATGCATGCACTCCATCTATCTCGTTATCTATAATAACTGGTAATAAACTTGAAGAAAAGGGTGGTATTTCCTCAATCTCATAACTAACATCTTCATTCCCTTCACCAGTAATTTGTCTCTTTCCATGAAGAACAACAGACCATTTTTTATCACTAGGATCAGTAACAAAAAATACTTGTTTTGCTTGGGATGCCATTATGAATTGCTCATTTTTGTGACCTTCCCTGTTCAAATCGACAAGTGTAAACCCTAACTCATCAGCTTTAACATCGTGTTTACTATCTACCCATTTACATCGGAACATCGGCACTTTGAACTGAACATAATCAACCTCCCATATTTCTTCAATCACACCATAATATGACAACTCTGCAATGACCGGATTTTTATCTTTCGAACTACTGAAGTGCACTGAATTTGCAACCAAAGAAACTCCACTGTTTTGCATAGTGCTCTTTTCATCTTGTTTTTTTGTATAAAAAGAAAATCCATTTATATCATATCCAGTATAACATATGACTTGCATACAAGGACCATGACCTAACCATCGTACTGTTTCAGAATAGTTAGTAGCATTCAGAACTTTATTCTTGAACCAACTAATAAAAGTACGATTATGTTCGCTCACAATCCACATGTCTGTCTTTCGTGGATTTTGCTCTTTAAACAGTGGCTTGTACTCATCTAAATATGGCTCGACTTCACTTGTATTATGCAAGATGTACAAATGTGCTTCCTCAATATCTTCATGAGGCATACCGGCTACTTTGCGTCCTCGAGTACCTTTCCCAGCACTTCTTCCTTCATGTCGATACTTAGAAAGACCAATAGCTTCTACCCCCGCCAAATATTCAGTACAAAATTCAGTTACCTCCTCAGCAATATAGCTTTCAACAATAGATGCTTCTGGTCGATATTGGTTCCTCACATAACCTTTTAAGACTTTCATGTACCGTTCAAATGGGTACATCCACCTCAAATAAGCAGGACCGCACTGTTTGATCTCTCGCACCAGATGTACAACCAAATGAACCATGACATCAAAAAATGACGGTGGAAAATACATCTCCAACTGACACAATGTAACAATAATGCCATTTTGCAATTCATCTAGTTTGTCTGGATCAATCACTTGTCCACAGATAGCATTGAAAAAGAAACAAAACCTTATAATAGTATATCTCAACTTTTTGGGCAATATACCTCTAACAGCCACTGGCAATAGCTGCTGCATTAAGGCATGGCAATCATGAGATTTCAATCCCACCAATTTTAAATCTTGCATATTCACAAGTGTTCTAATATTTGATGAGTACCATTGTGGTACCTTGACTCCACGTAAACACTCACAAAAACTTATTTTCTCCTTTATTGATAAAGTATGAGCAGCTGGAGGCAAATATGTCTTCTTATCCCCTTGGCGTGGAGCTAATGTTGCTCTTATGTTCATTTCAATCAAGTCTAATCTAGCATTGAGTCCATCTTTAGTCTTACCTTTTATATCTAAAAGAGTTCCAACAAGACTATCACACACATTTTTCTCCACATGCATCACATCAATACTATGTCTCACATCTAATGTCTTCCAATATGGAAGATAAAAAAAATATGGATTTCTTTTTCCATGGACTCTTTTCATTTGGAGGTACCTCAACATTAGCTCTTGACCTCTTACCTCTTTGAGATTTAAGCTTTTGAGTTTTACCAAAAGTAACATTTATACCTTTCACACGTTCATAAACTTCAATCCCAGTCATTGGTTGTGGAGCATCTGTATAGTCTTGTTGCCCATTGAAAGCCTTTTTTAATCTCCTGTAAGGGTGAGCTCTATCAAGAAACCTCCGGTGACCCAAGTAGACTGTCTTTCTGCCATGGACAAGTTGTGTATAACATGTATTATCTTCACATATAGGGCATGCCTTATGTCCTTTGACACTATACCCAGCCAGGTTTCCATAAGCTGGAAAGTCATTGATTGTGCAAAAAAGCATAGCATGCAACTTAAAATTCTCTTTCCGGTAGGCATTAAACACTAACACACCTTCATCCCACAATTTTTTCAAGTCATCAATCAAAGGTGCCAAAAAGACATCTATATCATTACCGGGTTGTTTTGGGCCAGAAATCATCAAGGACAGTAATATATATTTGCGTTTCATACACAACCAAGGAGGTAGATTATAAATCACTAACATAACTGGCCACGAGCTATGCTTGCTACTTAGGTTCCCGTGAGGGTTTATACCATCTGTACAAAGGCCAAGTCTAAGATTTCTGGACTCATTGCCAAATTCAGGAAAAACATTATCAAAGGTTTTCTATTGAGTAGAATCAGCTGGGTGTCGAAGCTTGCCATCAGAAATTTTTTGATCTGCATGCCATGTTAAGTTTTTCGCGTCGCTTGGATTTGCAAACATACACTTAAATCTTGGAAGAATTGGGAGATACTACATAACTTTAGCTGGTGGCCCTTTCGAACTTGCCTTACCAACAACATGCTCTCTTATTTTGTACTGAGATGCCCCACAGATCGGACATGCATTCAATTCTTTGTAATCATTCCTAAACAATATGCAATCGTTAGGACAAGCATGTATCTTTTCATACTCCATACCCATGGGACACATAATCTTCTTTGCATCATATGTACTCTTCGGGAGTCCATTATCTTCTGGAAGCATATCGTTTATTAAATCAAGTAAAGCAGTAAAGCTCTTGTCGCTCCATCCATTCCCAGCTTTTAAGTTGAATAATTTCAAAACAGCAGATAAGCGAGTATATTTACTACACCCGGGCCATAAAGGCTGTTTTGAATCATTTAATAATTCATCCAACTCATTTGATCGATTTGTGAACTCTTCTCCAACATCACGGAACATTTCGTCCAACCTATCTTCAGACTCATCATCTTCATTTGCTTCGTTGTCAACATACATGTTAGATGTACTAGTCTCTCTTCCTCCTTCACCGTGCCATATCCATTTTGTATAATTTTGATTAATTCCATCGCAAATTAGATGATCATATATGTCATTGCCACTTAATAGTTTTAGATTACAACACTTCTTACAAGGACACCAAAATGTTCCATCATTATTTGGAAGATGACATTTTGCAAACTCTATAAATTCTCTAACTCCGGCATCATATTCCGTACTCAACCGAGAAGCTTTCATCCAACTTTTATCCATCACAAGTCAATCTAGGATAATATTAATTTCAATTAAACTTTTGTTAACATTGATTCAACTCTATCAAAAATAATTGTTGTGGTGAAAATAGACTAGTAATTACAAATATATACAAATAAACTCTAAAATGCAAATAAATTGACTAAAATTCAAGTATACACTCGACAAAAGTGAGAAGTCTTCTAGTCATATGTCATTAGTGTGACTTAACTAAAAATTTACTCTTAGTCATTGTATAATATCTTAAGTAATTGAAATCCTTATTAATCATATTCAACCTTCAACAATTTACTCTATCAAATATATAAATTATATATTTTGTTGAATAATAAATTATTTAATTTTATTGACACTCAAAGAAATAAAAGAGTAAATATTAAATTTGGTTTTAACCATCACAATATTTGAGTTACAAGTTTCATATATACCAACATTATAAAAAATTATGCAATTAGTATTTATAAATATATACAAATAAACCCTAAAATGCAAATAAATGGACTAAAAATCGAAATTAAGAAATAATAATTACAAATATATACAAATAAACTCTAAAATGCAAATAAATTGACTAAAATTCAAAATTAATCAATAAAAATTACAAATATATATAAATAAACCCTAAAATGCAAATAAATTGACTAAAATTCGAAATTAATCAATAAAACTTACAAATATATACAAACAAACCCTAAATTGCAAATCAATTTAATAAAATTTGAAATTAATTAATTAATTAATTAATTAATAATAATTAAAAATTAAAAAATATATATATATAAAACTTACCGCAGTCCGTCGACGATGGTGTAGCGGCGGAGGGAGAATGTCGGTCTGCGGCCGTGGGGAGGAGAGGTTGAAGCGGCAGCGGCGGGGGGTTGCAGTTGCGGCGGCGGCGGGGGGTTGCAGTTGCGGCGGCGGCAGAGGAATGAAGCTGCAGCGGCGGCGCGGAGACGACGTCGGCGGGGATGGACTGTGCGTTGGGGACGACGGCGGCGGGTTGCAGCGGCGTCGGCAGTGGTGGTCTCAGATCGGGGAAGAAGAGATGGAGGAGATGGAGGAGAGGGGAGCAGATCGAAGAGATTGGAGGAGATGGAGTACCGCGTGCGTCGTCTGAGATGAGGAGATTTAATTTATTTTATAAAGTTTATAACGTCGGTAGCCGACGTTATAAAGAAAAAAAATAAAAAATAAAATAATTAAAAGTATACAACATCGGCTAGATAGACAGCCGACGTTGTATTAGATTTATTTATTTTTTTATTATTTTTTTTATAACGTCGACTAAAGGGATTTAGCCGACGTTATATATAAATAATTTAGAAAAAAAAATTAATAAACGACCTACAACGTCGGCTATTAGTATAGCCGATGTCGTAGCTTACGTATTTCTTTTATATTTTTATGTTTACTTTATAACGTCGGCTATTACTAAATAGCCGACGTTATAAACTATTAAATGTTTTTAACGTCAGCTATTTATATAGCCGACGTTAAAGACCCGACGTTGTATGTGAATTCTGTAGTAGTGTTTGTGACAATTTTACAACTAAAGTTGCACAAGCTAATGGGCCTATAATCAACAAATGTCTCCGGGCTGGCTTTTTTAGGCAATAACACTATGGAGGTGTGAGTAATAGACCTGGTGAACTCTCTACCAAGGAAGTAACTCCTGACCATATTGACCACATCCCCCTTAACGATATCCCAACAAGATTTATAGAATGCCCCTGAAAACCCGTCTGGGCCTGCGGCACTAACAGAATTCATGTCAAACACAACCTTTTTAATCTCATCTTCCTCAGGGATAGCAATAAGCATAGCATTCTCACTATCAGTAACCAGACGCGACATACAGTCAAGTTTAGACAAATCAAAAGTACCTAATTAAATAATTAAGCTTCCATAATTGAGATTAATCCTCTGATTAAATAATTCCCAACTTTTATCTGGAATTAGGAAAGGCAAGTTTAGCCAATAATTATGCGACCCTCCCATAGAAATGGCAACTTCTTGAAGTTGTGTGGTGACTAATATTCGACTTCCATTAGAGCATTATTATCAGTTGGAATATTAGAGGGGAGAATGTAAGAGTGATTAGGAAAGAGAAAATGGGAGGAAAAAAAAAGAAAAAAAAAATTGAATTTAAAAAAAATAAAAATAAAAATAACAAACGCGCACAACCTTTCCTTTTCTCCTTTTTTTTTAATTAAATTTCTGACATTATTTTGACATTTGAAGGAAGATTCTTTTTGAGTTATCTCATTCTCACATCAGCTTTGCTCTCCATTTGAGAGAATTAATTTTAACATTAACTCTCAAATCTTCTCTATAGTGGAAGTTCTTACTATTATCTAGAAATCTAGAATGCATCTTTGGATTTCATTCCAGGAGCTTGTGCTCCACACATCATCTACAACAATGAGATACTCCGATCCAGTAAGCATTTACGTAGTAGTACTGCGAGTTCTTCGTTGCTTTTATGGATGGTTTCCTTTTCCTGGGTGATTTGCATAGTAGACAAGAGTTGAAGAAGCATTAATTTGTCGCATGTCAGGTTTTGCAGACACAGTTGTCCAAGCACCAACGTCAAAATGAGATGAAACTTGATGGATAATCAATCGTTATGTCATGGAACCGTGTTCACCATCAATGGTGAACATGGTCCCAACGGTGTTAGTGCACCGTTATTTTTTTTTTTTTTCCTTAATTAATCGCGTGACTTTTATTCTTCATTTTCACATTTCGCAGATTCACTTTAATTTGAGGTGAGCAATGATTTCGGACATTCATAAATTATGAATCCATGCCTGCACATTCGCTTTGGAACCATGCCAAACACATTTCCGTCCGAAACCATCGCTGCTCCTCTGTAGCGCAAGCTTTTTCAACATTCATAAATTATGAATTTTCTATTATGAAATTATGAATTTTCTGTTATGAGATTATGAATTTTCTGTTATGAGATTATGAATTTACAGTAAATTCATAATCTCATAACAGAAAATTCATAATTTAATAAATGTTTTTCTTTTATGCGATTATGAATTTTCTGTTATGAGATTATGAATTTAGAGTACATTCATAATCTCATAACAGAAAATTCATAATCTGACCAAACGCGCGTCGTTAACACCACATTAGCGGATTTTTTTTTTTTAACGTAAAAACGGCGCCGTTTGGACCCGTGTTCACCATTCATGGTGAACACGTTTCCAAGGCATAATTTGCGATGGATAATATACCAGGCTTGAGCCACAGGGATCGGCTAAAGAAAGTCACTGTATCAAGGAAGCCCATATTTGCTAGATGATAACATTACCAAGTATATATGTAATTGCAAATTATGCTGTGGATCCGGGTCCACCTTAAAAGGTAGATCACGGTTATATTCACAATTTTTTAACTCTATATTCACAATTTTAGATCTCAATATACAAAATTACAGAACTCAATATTCACAATTTTAGTACTCTGTATTCACAATTTTAGTACTCTGTATTCACAATTTTAGAACTAAATATTCACAATTTTAGATCTCAATATACAAAATTGCAGAACTCAATATTCAAAATTTTTAAACTCTATTTTCAGAATTACAGAAATCTATACTCACAATTTCATAACTCTATATCCACAATTATATAACTGAATATTAACGCTTGACTTGTTTTCAATAATTTATTTTTAAAAAAAAAATCATTAGCTATGAAAATGGTGCCACTAACGGTACCGTTATTTTCACAGGCATAAACTGTGTCATTTTGGACCTGAATTCACCTTACAAGGTGGACCCGGGTCCATGGCATAACTATCCGTATAGTATGTAATTTTCAAACAAAAAAAAACAAATATAAAATACTTGATTTTATAATTTTCCTCCTTTCGCAAACTATGAAGTTCTAAAAATTGAAATCTATATAGCCTTCAATTCACATGGTATTAATTAAAAACAAGTCTGAAATACGTAATAAATAAACATGTAGAAGTTTATCAAATATAATTTATACAAGCCCACACAAAAGAAACCATTATCAAAATCATGGCAAATTATTTTGTGGATCCGAATCTAAAAATACATAATTTACTTATTAAATGTTTCACAATTTACATAGATAATTTACCTACTATAACTATAACTGTTGCAAAATCATGCTTAGGTCATCATCCCTACACATATTACAAAGCAATTCCACTTCTCAATGAAACAATTTCTCAGACCAAATTCAAAGCGCTATACTCAAATAAAAAAGAAGAAGGACATCCACAGATCCAAATATATGTTAGGAAAAAAGGAGTGTTTGATGATAACGAAGTGAGGAAATGAGATCTTCCGGCGTGTAATCATTTTCCTATAAGCTTTAAATCTCCCTCGTATAAAGCAATAAGTTCAAGATTTAATCTTATGGGATACAAGAAGATGATGAAATTCTTAAGTTGCTTTATTTAAGAATTTTCTGTAGAAATGCAGTACTGTGAAATATCTCAATCTTATGCAAGTTTATTGCATGTATCTTTTTCAGACATTTCTCCAAGTATATATAGATGCAAAATATATCTGTTTGGAGAAGTTACATGAAAGTTGCTGTAATTTAAAACTCAACTTCCATAAGATAAGATATATCCTGATTGATATATCTATCACTGGAGAAATTATTAAATATATATTGAGTCAGTAACTGTATGCAAAATTATATACATATATATATATATATATTTATATATTCCTTACGCATGGAAACATG